ATAGCCAACCTCAGTTATCTTTACATCTCTTTCAGCGTATTACCCTTATTCTTACGACTTATTACCCTTATCCCATAATCTTTCTTCTTACAACTTATCATCCTCATTAGAAACTTTTCGACTGATGTCAGAACCACCTGAATATAGTCAATAATTATTGCATTAAAAAAGGAAATTAAACACGAAATGAATAACTCGCGTCCTGTATTGTAGCCAGCTTATTCTTTGAAAACAGTCTTATTTCATCTCTTGCTCGTGATCATGCAAAATAATTACGGGGTTTGAAATAGTAAACAATGATTCAAAATGGCCGCTCAAGTATGTGCTTCAGACAGCATCTCATAGGTGAAATCTCTTCTTCTCTTGCCAAAATCTTCATACTCACAGATAAATCAGCACTCAAAAGACTTGCAGTAATACAAAAATCGACGGCAATCGAAGTGAATTTTGTAATTGAGATTGTTAACAAGCACCGGTGGGAAAAACAAACTTGCGAGCACACGATCTTTAAGATCGCAAAAAGTATATAAAACGGTCACAAAAGGGAACCATATGTATCACATGAAAGCATTTTGGCGATTTCATGACTTAAGGTTAGAATGAATTTGTATTTTGTTGAAAACTTTCAATTTTTTTGTTTTGTTTGTTGGCTTTTCGTTAATTGTTCGCTCTGGTTATATGATTAACAGCCGGTCTAAGTTGTCAAACAATTAATAAATCACCGATCGACAGTTGGATATTTTTTGAGAGTTTTGAAAAATAGAACCTCTACAATGTAAACTAACAATGAGAAACTGCCAAGCGATCTCAAGGACATTTTTAAATCTCATGTGTAACGCTTGGTTTATGCTTCTCAGAAATTGCTTGAGATAGACTTCCGGTCACGGTTTTTAAATAATTAATTGACCGACGGTCGCAAATTTTTCTAGAGCCTTTTTAGAAATAGAGAGCACCTGTAAAACTTCCCCAAAGAAATGTCGAGCTCGAGGATATTTAAAAAATCTCATGTGTAACGGTCGGTTTACGCTTGCTCAAAATGTTTGGAAATTGCGTGAGGTGGACTGCCGATCACGATTCTCAGAGAACCAAATGACTGACAGTTGTCTAGTTTTCTTAAAATTTAGAAATTAAGAGAACCTACACCAAAATATTACATATCGATGATATCGATGAGGAACTGTGTTGTGTATTAGGGTTCGTTCGATCAATACATGATCGCGAACGAAATCAAAGAAGAAAAGAAGATCGTGGCCACGTTCCTGACCTCAATAGGCAGCAAGACCTACAACGTCTTGAGAGATTTACTAGCCCCGGTGAAGCCATCTAGCGTAAAACTTACAGATTTGGTCACAACTTTACGAGATCACTATGAGCCCAAGCCAATTGTCATCGCTGAACGTTTTCACTTTCGCAAGCGCGAACAGCTCGAGGGAGAAGGTGTGGCGGCGTACATTGCAGCCCTAAAGAAGTGTTCAGAACATTGTGCCTTCGGCACATTTCTAGAAAAAGCCCTCAGAGAACGATTCGTCTGTGGCCTGAAAAGCAGACAAATTCAGGAAAGACTCTTGGCAGAAAAAATTCTCACATGGAAAACAGCAGTAGAAATGGCGTTGGCAACGGAGGTTGCTGATAAGCAAGCCAACAACTTCAGGAGTTCGCCCGCAGATAGTGGCATACATTATGTGAGATCACTGCATCCGCTAAAAGCGATGAAGCCAAAGAGACCGTGTTTCCGTTGCGGCAAGGACCACATCCCGCAAAAGTGCTGATTTAAAGAAGAATTATGTCGGAATTGTAAGTCAAAAGAGCATATCGCCAAAGTTTGTAAGGAAAAAGCACCCGCATCCTAAGGTAGTTACGCCTATGGATCACGTTCGAATCAAGGTGGGAGAAGACAACCAGCTCGGTACGTGGAGGACGACACCCTTCAAAAAGAACCAAACGACAACTTCAAACTATTTCACATTCATCAGGAAAAGCCTGAACCATCCATCATGGTTCTTGTAAAGTTGAATGGTGTAAGCTTTTCGATGGAGTTGGACACTGGTGCGTCAGTTTCAATCATGTCCGAAGAGGCATGGAGAAGACGGTTCCCGAAAGTTCCATTAGAGGACTCCCAAATCAAGTTGAAGACTTACACAATAGAAGCCCTCGAAATTATTGGACAAGCACTGGTGGAAGCAACCTATCAAGTTCAGACCTCCAAGTTACCACTCCAAATTCTAAAAGGGAACGGACCAGACCTATTTGGAAGGAACTGGCTAAAGAACATTAAGTTAAATTGGGGATCCATCAAGAAGATAAGTTGTGATTTAGATAGCATGTTATCTAGACATCAATCTGTATTCAAAGATGAGTTAGGTAAACTATTCGTCAAGCCCGAATCAAAACCGAAGTTTTTCAAACCGCGCCAAGTTCCATATGCTTTAAAAGGAGCCATCGAGCAAGAATTAGATCGCCTAGAAAATATGGGAGTAATCGAAAAGGTGCGTTACTCAGAGCGGGTGGCACCGATAGTTCCTGTTGTTAAACCGGATAATTCAATTAGAGTTTGTGGAGATTATAAGGTCACGGTCAATTCCGTTTTGGGGGTTGACCAACACCCGTTGCCAAACCCCGAAGATTTGTTTGTTGAATTAAGTGGGGGAGAAAAATTCAGTGAGCTAGATTTATCCAGGGCTAACCAACAAATTCTTTTGGATGAGGATTCTAGGGAGTATGTAACCATAAATACTCACAAGGGTTTTTATAGACCCACTCGTTTACCTTTTGGAGTATCCTCCGCGTTAGCTATCTTTCAATCAAAAATTGAGCAAGTACTCCAGGGTGTACCAATGGTCGTTTGTGGGGTGGACGATATTTTATTATCGGGGAAAATGATCAAGAGCATTTAATTCATCTGAGTGAAGTTCTAGCAAGGTTGGAACACACTGGCTTGAGGTTAAAACTTAGCAAATGCAAATTCATGCAGCCAACCGTTGAATATCTAGGTTATCGAATAGATGCACAAGGAATACATGCGATCGAGAAAAAAGTCGAAGCCATAAGAAAGGCGCCAGCACCCGTAAATAGGCATCAGTTGAGGTCATTCCTCGGAATGATTAATTACTATTCAAAATTAATCAGTAACTATTCAAAAACGCGTTCCAGTCTTCTGAAATGGGGTTAAAGAACTCAATCGTTCCAAGAGATCCCATCCTCGTCGCCAGTTGTTTTGTATTAGGGTTCGTTATATACTACTATAGAGTAAAGCGTGCACAGACCAAGTGCTCTACAAAACTGCTTTATTTGAATGCCATGAGGTTAATTACACACAATGATATATGAGCATTATCACGTTACTGCGGTCAAAGGTGTGCTAACCAATAGAATAAAGATTATATAATAGCTAAGGTATTTATTCAAATAGGAACAAACACTACAAACTGCATGATGATAAATCTCAATTCTGATGCACGGTTCACGCTGGGCTTCTTTACAAGTTAGAGATACACTTCGCGGATAGAAACTGAGCAGCAGATTAGTTGATACCAAACACTTCCTACCATTGGGTTGCCACGGCCATAGGTTTTTAAAATTCACTGATAAACGTCAATTTTCTGACCAATTTCACGAGAAAATCTTGATGATGATCTCAAATCTTCCCCAACAGCAATTCTTTGTATCCATAAATTAAGGAAGTCACATACAGTCTAGATGAATTAATACTTCCTTAAGGTAACATGGAAAAAGGATCAATTTTCTTGGAAACCCAATATCAGCTTATTTTACTTATCTTATACGTTTCAAATCCGTGAAATGTACCGAAGAATCGGAAAGGTAAAAAGAAAAAAAAAATGTTGAATATGGAAGAGAAAGAAAATGTATGATTTTATTCACAAACCAACTTCAACTTCCATTACAAAGAAAGAATATAGTGGTCATGAATCTGACAACTATTCTAACAATGTACATAATAAACATCAAAAATGAAAGTGTCATCATCTGTAACTATGAAGGAGAAAGCATAGAATATGTTCGTTGTGAAAGGTGCCCGGAAGTTTTCCCTCATTTCAAGTTCGTCCTCTACCATTCCACCCCTATCAAGACAAGTTGGCGAAGTAGTAGGGTGCTAGCTTGCAATGGGGCAAAAACTCTAGATACTGTGTGAAACTATAATAAACATAGATAAACTTTGCTGTTAAATCTGGCTCTAAAAAATTGCTGGTTATGTACTTGATCAACTTAAAATGTTATTCATTCTTGCGTTAACTCATAACAGCTATAAATGCCTGTCATTTATGCGCCATTTGTTTTGTTAATGATGTTGTTGTTTTTCATTTATTTTTTTGTTTTTGCTTTTTGCTTTTTGCTTTTTGCTTTTTGTTTTTTGTTTTTTTTTGCTTTTGCTTTTTGTTTTTTGTTTTTTGTTTTTGTTTTTTTAAAAACAAACTTACTGAGAAAAACAAACAGAATAATAGCGACATCATTTTCTAGGAACTTCTTGGTGATTCTGAACAATTTTGGCTGGTTCCTTTTTAGTTCTTAAAGAACTAGTGAAAAAAACAACACTTTTTAACTTTATCGAAAAACGAAATCGAAAAACTGGCGAATTTGCAGTGTCTACAAGAAATAGCTATAAACGCTTATTTTTTGCTTGTTTACTACCTTTGACCTCTGGATATATTAAAGCACTTAATGTCAGCTCCCCATGGAAACAATCAGTCTCGTTTCTCTCGAATGGAAACAATCAGTCTCGTTTCCCTCGAATCTAAAAAAACTGTTTCCAGCGGTAGAAGACACTACAGTAAGTGCATTTTACTATGCCACCAGTCCCTGTTATCACTACAGAATGGATGTTTCATGGAAGCTAATTGATAGCCCAATTTAGCAGGACGTCACCAGCTTAAAGTATCGATGATCATTACTGTGAGAGGACTAGGCTACGCAAGATCCTTAAAGTACTTGTATCTGTGATCACCGTAGGATCCTCTTATTTAGAACATTTCTTTGCGTCCTCTTCAGTCTGAACCACAGTATCGCATATCACAACCTGGTGGCTTCAGGATATTGTAGATATAGAAGGATCCACAGTTTTTTACTTCAATGAAAATGTCTCCTTTATCACTAAATAACACCTTCCTGCGCGCTTTACCTTCTTCCACAGTAGGATGAGCACCATGCAACCAGCCCGGTAAGGCTGTACCACAGTGGTATCGACCTACAGCCGTCGTCGCCATTTTTGTTCCTGCAGCTCCCACAAAACGATACCATCCCACAGGGAGTGTGTCGTCACACAGTACTAGAGAAGCGGGTGTTGCGTAACTGCTCTTTCGATTTGAATCACTCAGGTTGTTGTAATTGATACACGGATCGGCTATAAAGTTACATAATGATAATGAATAAATTTATCAGAATAAAAGGCTAAATATTTTTTAACGATTACAAGTTCTAGAAGTTTGGCGACTAGAACCAAAACTTATGTTTACAAGAAAGATTATTATACATTAAGTGAAAGGTCAAGTAGTAGTTATGCTGAAATTCAGTCGGCGAGAGTAGCAAAATCAATATGGGCGATAAGATACCATTAGATATAGATAGCACTATCTAATTCGTATTTCCTCTCTCTTCAATGAGATGTCAAAGGGCAACTTTTGGTAATAGCTAACGTAGAATACTCATAACCAAGCAGCCACATAGCCATTTATGGCAACCTGAGCGGTAACTATTTAGACCGAGTCTGACAAATACGGAACATAACTAATCAGATGGTAAATACCAAACGTACCTTCACAGCTAAAACCATCTCCAATGTAATCAGGGTTACAAGAACAGTTGTATGAGCCCTGGGTATTAATGCAAGAGGCACTCGGATGGCATTGCTTTATTTTATCAACATGAACCTCCCTACATTCGTCAATGTCTGAAAGAGAACAAGCATACTAAGTCAGGATCAAACTGTAACGGGTACCCCTAGAAGATAAAAGAAAACTAAATGTCACAAAATGTAATAATCTTTGAACACCAATGATTATTATAAAACGAGCAGAATGTTCTCTTAAAGACTTGTCGAAATAAATATCAGCCATTTACCAGTCTGAATGGCAAGACCATAAAAATAATTTCAAGATCTAATTATGAAACAAAATTTTCATCGTTAGGTGAAATTTTTGTTATTTATTGTAGAGATCCATTTTGTACTCTGAAAATACATGCTGCTTCACAGTGCAAAATAATGTATTTCAAAAATGCAAAATGTGTTGTTATACAGCTATAACTTTTCCCCAGCAGCGCGCCTTATCAAGTGGTTTCTTTGGTCTGCCACAAAATCTAACAACTACTATTTTACATTCAAAAGTCTCTTAGTGGGCAACATTACAACGGTAGAGAGTACAGTGGTAAATTCACCCACGAATTTTGACCAAAGGTTGCCGACTGGTTTAAAGAAGCTTTTATCTCTTGCACACACTCAGTAAGAATTGAAGAGAAATAAAAAAATGGCGAATGCCAGTAAAGTAATAAAAAAACTGATGATAAATAATTGATACCCCTATTCTTTTGAAACCAATCTTTTTTAAACTAGATGCAAGATTTTCCGTGGAAAAATAGGATATCAACGACGGCCTATAGCGATAAAAAATCAGCCATTACGATAGTAAGATACAGTAAACACATTTCCACGCTCTCATTATTATTATTAATTTTTTTGATACGCAGGAGTCCGCTATATTTAGACGGGTAGCCGATGCGAATTACGTCACCGATTGTTTAAATTTTGTTTGAATACATACTCTCATCTTCATTTTGTTTTTTGACGTATTTATGAAATTTTACACCTTTTATCTCTATGACTCAAAGCAAAGCACTAACTGTGGGTAACTGCCTTTCCCTACAGAAATTTAACATTGGCTCTCCATGGTATAAAAAGCAACCACAACAAAGAAAAAACTATTATTAAAGTCGAAAAGAATCTGAGGGCTTTCGAGATTATTGACTGTACCTGTACAATTGTGTCCATCTCCAGTATATCCAGGTTTGCATGTGCAAACGTATAATCCGTGTGTGTTATTACAAGTAGCATTTACGTGACATTTGCCAGGGTATGTTTTACATTCGTCAATATCTGTCAAAAAAAGAAAGAAAAGAAGAGAAGAGAATGAAAAATGGGAGTGCGTTTTTTTATTCGAAAGTCAAGAGTCAGCCTCACCTATTTTGCAGAACTAATACATTGCTTGCCACGTTACCAAAATAAACAGCAACGACAAACAATCAACCAAACAAAAGCTTATTACTAGTCAACATGAATCTGAAGGCTTTTGAGAGTGTTGACTGTACCTGTACAATTCTGGCCATCTCCGATAAATCCAGGTTTACATGTGCACACGTAAGATCCATGTGTGTTGTTACATACAGTCTTAGCATGGCATCTCTGAGGGTTTGTTTCGCATTCATCAATATCTGTCGTAAAATTAGAAATTAAAAAAAAAAAAGAAAAATTAATAAAATATCAGCTAAAGACATAAGCATTTCGGTTTCTAACCGAGAGTCATAGGAGTTCGCAAAAACCTCAATTTCATTGCAGCTTTCTGTTTTTAAGTGGTTCTTTGATGGGACATTTCAATTATGATATTATTTCTGAATTCGCATTGCAGTTACTCCATTGAGCAATCAACATACATATGAATTGCTCTTATGTGAATCAAATCAAATGTGCAATTTTGTCCATCTCCAGTATATCCAAGCTGACAATTGCATACATGTGATCCAATGGTGTTGGTGCAGTTTGCATTCTCATGACGAGTGGTTTCCTTGACACTCATCAACGTCTATGAAATCACAGATGAAAAAAATGGGATTTCTAAATTATGCAAAAATTGCTGTGCATACGCCATTACCGTGTTTAAGAGTGCAAGTCATGGCTGTTTTCAATCTTTTGCAGGATTGCGAGAACGCAAGATTGTCGTACCTGGTGAAAACAAGTTATCTATGCAAAAAGCCAACACTTAAAAACTTTTAGTTGGATAACTGTCTTACTTAGTTTGAAGAAAATATGACTCGCCACGTTATCAAAATAAACATCGACCGAAAAACCAACTATTTCCAGTTACCTGTACAATTATGACCATCTCCGATAAATCCAGGTTTGCATATACACACGTATGATCCGTATGTATTATTACACGTAGCCTCTTTGTGGCATTTTCCAATAAATGCTTCGCATTTATCAATATCTGTCGTAAAATTAGAGAGAAGCAGGGAAAAGAATACACGAATAAAATATCAACTAAAGAAATAAGCATTTTGCTTTCTATCAAAGAGCCATAGGAACTCAGCAATTCGCAAAAACCTCAATTTATATGTAACTTCCTGCTTTAAGTGGTTCTCTGGTGGTAACTTTCAATTAAGCCATTATTTCTGAGCTCTCCTTGCAGTTACTATATTAAGCCTTCGACATACATATGAACTGCTCTGATTTATTTTGCCAGGAAAAGGCGTCGAACGTTCAAAGTAAAAAATAAAAAAAAATAAAGAACAGTTGTCATACCAGCATTGAAAATTAGAAAAAATCTCATTTATGTTCATTTCAGGCGTTGACTTAGACTCATACCCTTTTCACAATGTTCTCCCTCGAATCCAGGAGGACACAAGCATCGATATCCCTTGAATGTAAAACCCGACTGGCAAGTTGCGTTATTTTGGCAATGGGAACTCTTGTCACAAGCGTTCTGAAGGATAAAAACACAATGAAACGAAATAACTAAAGAAAGATCGAGAGTTTGAGTGAAAGAAGAAACTAAATACCGAATGATCGAATGCACGAGAATTTGCATAAACATTCATATTGTTTTTGCTTTATTCCAAGGCGATAATTTTGAAAAATCGATTTGTAACTCACCTTCGAACCACGATAATAAAACTTGGCATGTGTTGTCAAGTCACTGTCATATTTCAGATGCGTGGCGTTATTAAGTTCACAGTTGTAACCTGTTTTATCATTTTCTGAATCTTTTTTGTAGTTAAGACTGACACAGTCGTCGGTCAGGTAGCAAAAGAGTTCACAGTCATCCAAATTCTTGACGCGTTTTTCATCAATGGTATGGTTTACCAAACGTCTTTCAGCAAAGAAGTGGTAGTCCGGAAACACCATTGCGCGTTCTCTCTCTAAAATAGAGAAATTGAAATATGATTATTAGGCATACTTTTCCGTCTCAAAGAATTAAATTTCGAATAAAAAGTTCCAAGAACAAATCTCTTAGCAAAAATTCTCGGAAGTCAGCAAACTATGGTGGAAACGTCGAAAACGTAAGTCAAACAAAGCTGTTGGTGAAAAGAACGATGATTCGTCAAATGCGTCTTAAAAATTTGTAAATTCTTCGTCGTTCTCTACAATTAAAAAAAAAACTCAAAACGACCTTAATTTGACAGTTTAAGAGTTTTTGAGGTACGGAACTTTGACGAAAAATGTTATGGTGTTTCACATGAGTTTGGCAATTCAAAAAGCTCCTACGATTTTAGCTGAGTTTATCATATCGATATAAAGGGCGAAATCATCAAACACTGAAATTCGTACTAAAAAGGTAGTTAATTAGTGTTTGCATCTTTGACGTCGGTACCATCAGTGCGCTGAAATTAATTCGAATTCTCTCATAGGGAGCTTTTAATATCACAAACACTTTGACTAGGGAGAGTCTTCAATGGCTTTTTTTTGTTTTTTGTTTTTTTGCTTTTTTTTTGTTTTTTGTTTTTTTGCTTTTTTTTTGTATAAACATGTTCTCTACATAAACAAGTGCTTGACTATTGAGTGTTTAGTAAGGAAATGCATTACTGGAGAAGTCCCCTATGGCTCTTTCCTTCAAACGGCTATCGTAAACAGAGGAAAATCATGCAAAATGACGCTGAAAAAAAATTCTTGTCTTGCATCAATGAGCAGATTTATATTAGTTTCAGAAATTTTTCAAAACGAACAATTCTATAATGGAATTTTTAATTTTTTTTTTGCAAGCAAACGTAGGCGGTGTTAATTTCTTAGCTATGGTGAACATAATCATTCATTTATTTCTGTCATTTGTTTACTTAAAACAAGTCATTTATCTACTTTTATTCAGTTATTTTTTTTCCTCGTGTGGAATAAAGTCCATCCAAATAACTTTAATCCTGTTCAAAAATATTGATCACAGCAACAGTTTTTAAATACACTGAATAATATATATGTGAATAAATTTAAGTCTAATGTATTTTGCGATGAGTTTATTTTGGAAGTACACAAAATTTAAGAATTGCACGAAGCTTCTGTAGAAAAGTTTGTCAAGGATCGTCTCAATTAAGCTATTTGTTCTTTGGAAAGTTTTAAAGCCTCCAATTCCAAAGGTAAAAAGAGATTTAACAACGAAATGTTTTTGATATAATTCAATACCCTTCCATGCAAATGTGAGCTGAGCGTTAGGGTTGCAGTGGTTTTCAATGAAGCAATTCTTCATCATAGCCGTTCTTAGTTTTTTTCGTAACAACTGCAAATTTCCTATATGGTTCATCATAATAACACCCCTTTGTTAAATAATATTAATATCTACAAATGAAGTTTATAATACTTAGGCTCCTTACTTTAAAGATCGTGTTTGTTGAATTCAGGTTTTTAATTTTGTCATAAAGACAAGTTAATAAGTTCAGAGCATCAACTGTTGTGAATCAGCGAAATAGAAATAAAGAGCAACGGAAAATAAGACAACACGGGCTGAAGTATGAATATGCAACTCACCTTTACCAAACGTCAAGTAAGTCATCGATGAAGTCCAGACTGAAAATAATAGAAACGCTGAAAATTCCATGCTTCCTCAAGATAACGGAGCTCAGTATTGATGTTTTCAGTGCCCCACAAATTTCGTGTCGACCACCTGCATTTAATAATGAATTAAGTAATAGAAACCAACCTATTAGTATTAAAAAGGGATATTAACAAATTTAACAGCTGTCAGTCCTGCCCCTGCAAATAATATACGTGGGTGCGCATTTTAAAGTCTGCGAATGAACACATTTTCCATGTCTTCTCTTGTGCCAGTTAGAAACACTTTGGTTTTGAGGGGCTACGATTCCATCTGTGTTCATTAACAGATTAGAAAAAGGGATTTTACCACACAAATTTTCATAACATTAACTTCAATTGCTTCATAATTATATTCATTGGAGTGCGTTTAAGACAATAACATCATAAACATATTCTTTCGAACATTAGGTAAACATATTACGATAATGCGAGTTTCTGAGAACTTCAAATTTTAAAGATCGATCTATAGATTCAACGTTTCTTCGTTTGTTTATTTGTTTTTGTTTTTTTGGTTCATTCTCAGGGGATACTCCTTTCAAGTTTAATTGAAGCGTCAATAATTGACGAAAAGAAAATTCTCACAAAAATACGGTGATAAAAATAGATCTTATGTACCGAAAGTCCCGCTTGCAAAATCCTGTGGATAATGGTAATCGGCGTGTAGGAGCAGAAAGGTTGGCGTAGCCTTATCCGCCAAAAAAGACGCTAGCCCTGCACTCGCGCAGTTATCTTTCATTTTCCAATAACACGAATTATTAATTAAGACTGTATCTTGAAATATATCTGAAATTATAAAATAAGCCACGTGGAATTTCCTATCGATTCGAGTTTCACAATTTGTGACGAGCTTGGAACCGCCAGCACTGACTTTTTATAATTTGGCCCTTTTCTCTATTTACGGTAATGATGGAACTACAACTTCGACAAGGGGTGTCGTTATAAACATACACAAATATCGCTGAGAAAAGGTTCAAGACGTAAACCCATTGCAGGACACTAAAATTAAGGATAATGATCTTGTTTATTTCAAATAGCTGAAGCTGTTTTTTCGCCAAAAGTTTGTTATACCCACATTCGGAAGTTCGGTATTTTTCATTTTCGTTTATTTCAGCCACACAGAAAAAGAGAAGGGTGGAAATTCGATTTATATCATGGAATGAAAGTCAAACTGAAGTTATCCATGCATCAAATATATCATTTCTTACCTTTAAAGATCCAACGTTCCTTGATGCCCAACTTTAGTGCTATTAAGCAAAACGTGTTTTCTTTTATTACTGTCCGGTAGCTATGGTTACGATAGAAACTCTTGGTTTCAAGCCAAGATGATTATTAATATTAGAAATGAACTGCTTTCTTCCTGTTTAGGCTCTTTGCACCAGAAGCTAAACTGGTAAAATAATGCTAGGTGAAAAATTTAACCTAATGCAACGGATTGACTGGAGTCATGCGTCTTGGACTATAAATTGTTATTATTAATTCCTTGAAAGTGTCGTCTGTGGTAAGGTGCCAAAGGCGTTATAATTATATGATGACTGACCCCCGTAAAGTCCTATTGTACTCCTTCTGCATTACATTAGCGAGTTCAGTCGAAGAAGGTAATTAAGTCTCCTGTACGGTCCAAGTTTCTAAGGAAAATGAGGGCGATATACTAGGGTATCCTTCAAATAAGATCATCCTTGGTCAAAGTGTATGAGGTACTAAGCACCTGAATGATCGATTGCACGGATTTACATATATATGACAAAGTCAAGCACCAGTTTCAATAAACAGTTGCTTGACTATTGAGGGTTTATTAAAGAAATGTATTAGTGAAGAGGTTCCCCGTGGCTTTTTTCTTCGAACGGTTATCGTGAACAGAGGAAATTCATACGAATTGAAGCCGAAAAAATCGTTCTTGTCTTGCGTCAATGGGCAGATTTATTTCAGTTTTCGAAGTTTCGAAACGTACAAACCCAAAATAACGTTTTAAAATTTTTACTTTTGTTAGCCAACGTAGGTTGTTAGAATTGCTTAGCTATGGTGAATATAATCATCTCTATATTTCCGTTACTTATTTTCTTAAAACAACTCATTTATCTGTCATCGTTTTTAGTCATTCATTTTTTGTTTCTTATTTCGAAAAAAACGTCCGCCTACATCATTTTTCAGAAGTTGAAAATATTGATTACAGCCACATCGTTTTAAAAACACTGAATAATATAAACTTGAATGATTTCAGTATAGGGGATCCTTGCTGTGAGATTAATTTTGGAAAACAAAAAGTTTGAAAATTGCACGAAGCTTCTGTGTAAAAGTTTTTTAAGGATCATCTTAATCAAGCTATTTATTATTTGGCAAGTTTAAAAGCCTACACTTCAAAAATTAACTCTTGGAAGACTTTTTTCAATTCCACAAAATGGCTAAAAGCTTATGAGACCGGCTACCCCTTTTTTTATAAACAATGTCTTAAAACCAGAAAGAGTGGTTTGTTCCAAATGCCAGCATTGTTCGTCTATAAAAAATGACTTCGCTTAAGTTGGCTGAGAGCGGCCAATTTTTCTTCCATGCAAATTATTGAATTCCCTTCTGTGAACCAACAACGAAATATTTTTGACGGAATCGATTACCCGTCCATGTAAATATAAGCTGAGCGTTAGGATTGAAGTGGTTTTGAATGAAGCAATTCTTCACCGTAGCAGTTCTTTTTTTTTTTTTTCTAACAAAATACTTCTGCAAATTTCCGATTTGGTGCATTATAATAACACACCCTTGCTAAATATCATTGGTGTCTACAAAACAAGTTTACAAGACTAAGGTTCCTTCCCCTTAAAATCACGCTCGTTAGGCTCAAGTTTTTAGTCTTGTCATACGACACCTTATAAGCTCAGTGCTTCAACTATTTTCAACCATCAAAGTAGAAATAAAGTATGATGGGAAATAAGATAAGACGGGGATAGAAAACGATTCGTAGTTTCCGTTTAAGACAACAACATTAGATGAACATGACTAGATAATGCAGTCACATAAAAAGCCAAGTTCCCTCGAGTTTCTGAGAAACAACACCTTGAAATTTTCAAGATCGATCCATAGATTCAGCATTTCGTTTTTTTTTTTTTGTTTTTTTTTTTCACTCTCAGGGGAAAACCCCTAAAAAGATTGACTGAAGCGTCGATAATTGACGAAAAGAAAATTCTCATAAAATATGGTAATCGCTGTGAAGGACCAGTCAGGTTGGCGTAACCTTATCTGCCGAAAAAGACGTTAACCCTGCACTCGCACAGTTCGCTTTCATTTTCCAAAAACATGAGTTCTTAATTTAGACTTTATCTTGAAATAAATCTGAAATT